TTTGTAGACAATAACTGAAAATTGTGTGTATTAAAGTTTAGAAGTTTTAGTTTGGGGAGATATAGATTTTAAACTTTATTTTAAGAATATTTAATAGCGGACATTATTTTGGTATAGATATGATGCTATACCATATTTCTCACCAGGAAATAGATAGTCATCCTTCTCTTTTTTGACAAAAAAGTTCTCCTATAGTCCTTTTATATAAAAAAAGTGTAAGTGCAAAGATGACACCACAATTAAGTACTGAAGAAGGTAAATCAAGAGACAAAATAGATACAAGCAACACATTTGCTTTATTAGAAATCATCAATAAACAATCTATTACAAGACTTGCTTATCAGCTTTACACAGCCTGTTAACACCTTAACAGCTGCTACTGAAAGATTCCTAATCTACCCAAACTTGTCTCTCCATCGTCAGTACCTCAGCAACTGTTTCGGCACGACCCAAGAACACCCTAAGGGATTTTCACCCTTCCTCTATAATAAAAGCCCCAAGTGTCTTATGGAATACACACGAATCCATAGCTCTTTTATAGTGATCTCCACGTTCCTGAAACCCTAGTCTCCAAGGCAACATGGATATATGGACAACTTCCATATCAATAAGTACACTTTCCTTTTCTTGGATTTGTACTTATTCCTCAAGGCATAAACTTGCTCCTCAAGTTTATCTCTTGCCTTTTCTCCACGGTATAAACTTGCTCCTCAAGTTTATCCCACGCCAGCTCAGCATCTTGCATCCACATGGTCTCTACCACTCTGCATGCCTCCTGGTTCACTCTCTGACACACGCTGCATCAGCAACTACTTCAACGACTACGTCAAGACATAAACCTCTAGTTTATCCTTCTCCATCTCAGCATATCCTGCATCCACATGGTAACCCACCACTCCGCATGCCTTATGTAGTAACGACTAATGCCTCCAGCATCAGTGACTTCGTCGCCTAGTTAGTCACGGAAGACCATTGACATCTACAAGCTCCACTTGCATCTTCAATCTCCCCCTTTTAGCTTTGTGTGCCAATCAAGCACAATACTCTTCTGGTTCAACAACCAAGTTCCCCCACCAGGAAACTTTCACACTCGATATGCAATTCTCCCCCACGAGACTTGCACTATCTTCATCTTCATACATAGATATGCTCTTCTCCCCCACGAGATATGCACCATCTACATCAGGACGTCCATCACCATGCTCTTCTCCCCCACGAGATATGCACTCCTTGGACCAGAACGTCATCACTTCTCCCCCTGCTTGATTGCATACTAAGCTAAAACATAGATGCTTAGATGTCAAGCCTTCTTTCACAGACACACCGCCTGCTCCTTCATGAGTACTGCATCAGCCTCTGATGCATCCGCCGAACTACTTCTCGAACAGCTCATTGCCTTGTCTTGGCTCCTTCGACTGGACTTCTTCCCCTCTGCTGTGACCACCGTAGGCTCCTCCCATGCAGTCTTCACAGCTATCCACACACCCTCATTGATTCCTCAAACCAACAACTTCATGCGCGCCTTCTCATGACCAAACTGGCCATCAATCAACAAGATTGTCTTCTGCAAACAACCGTGTACATCTTCACCTTCAGGATCACACCAGTAACTTAGGTGACCCGCTCTGATACCAATTGTAAGTGCAAAGATGACACCACAATTAAGTACTGCAGAAGGTAAATCAAGAGACAAAATAGATACAAGCAACACATTTGCTTTATTAGAAATCATCAATAAACAATCTATTACAAGACTTGCTTATCAGCTTTACACAGCCTGTTAACACCTTAACAGCTGCTACTGAAAGATTCCTAATCTACCCAAACTTGTCTCTCCATCGTCAGTACCTCAGCAACTGTTTCGGCACGACCCAAGAACACCCTAAGGGATTTTCACCCTTCCTCTATAATAAAAGCCCCAAGTGTCTTATGGAATACACACGAATCCATAGCTCTTTTATAGTGATCTCCACGTTCCTGAAACCCTAGTCTCCAAGGCAACATGGATATATGGACAACTTCCATATCAATAAGTACACTTTCCTTTTCTTGGATTTGTACTTATTCCTCAAGGCATAAACTTGCTCCTCAAGTTTATCTCTTGCCTTTTCTCCACGGTATAAACTTGCTCCTCAAGTTTATCCCACGCCAACTCAGCATCTTGCATCCACATGGTCTCTACCACTCTGCATGCCTCCTGGTTCACTCTCTGACACACGCTGCATCAGCAACTACTTCAACGACTACGTCAAGACATAAACCTCTAGTTTATCCTTCTCCATCTCAGCATATCCTGCATCCACATGGTAACCCACCACTCCGCATGCCTTATGTAGTAACGACTAATGCCTCCAGCATCAGTGACTTCATCGCCTAGTTAGTCACGGAAGACCATTGACATCTACAAGCTCCACTTGCATCTTCAAAAAGTACTCCTATTTCTTATATATATATATATATTTTTTTTTTCTCAGTAGAAATTTAGTATTATAATTTTTCATTTAGTGTCCATCTATAACATTCTTTTGAAATAAGTTTTCATGTAGAATTTTCTATATTCTTTTTTTATTTTGTTATAACTAAATAAATAAAATTGACACAATGATAAAAAGAGTTGTTAAGTCTCTACGATAGTGTTGTTAAATTGCTTCAATGTACTTATTTTACTACTTGTTTAATTTAATTGCTCAACAACAATAATGATTATTGCAGTTTTTTGGTTTTGGATTTCAAAGAGAACATCAGTTGGCTTCTCTATTCGTGTCTGATAGCTTAAACCACCAACTGCAAGCAACGTACTACAAGTGAGAGAGATCACGAGTAAAACGGAAGGTACGTAGAGTTCCCATCTTTAAATTATATCATTCGGCTTATGAATTGAATGTTGACTTTGCTTTATTTCTGTATACCTATTTGCAAAATCGATATATTGTACTCCTGAAATCATTTCATCTTTTTTCTGTGCTTTTCTGCAAAAAGTGGCCAATTTTTTTGTTCTTGTTTCTGGTCTTTAAAATCTCAGGACTGACTATGCGACAATGCGATTGACTTAGTAAAAATTATGTATACATTTAAATAAAATTGATTGCTATTAATCCCTAGTTTAAAAGGATAAAACAGAAAAACCAACTACACTTAAAAAGTCCGATAGATAACAGTAAAAATTAAGATCTATTATTGTAAACCAAACTAGATCATAACCCGCCCGACTGGACGGGTCTTTGTTTTTATGGTATATATAAATATTTTAAAAATTATAATCTTACGGTTCCAATTTTACTAAGTAATAGTATACTGTTTAAACATTGTATTTCATCACTGTATTGTGTAACAGGACGTCGGTAAAATGTTGTGACCCGTAAATATTTTAGCAATATTTTATAAAGTTTTTTTTTACTAAATTTAGTGCAAAGTTATATACACTAAATAATTTAGTCAAATTTTTAAGTTCATTTTAATCGAGAATTGGAAGGCTAGTATATTACTGTTAAAAATTTATAACAATAGTCAATATAAATTATATAAATAAAATATATATTATTCTTGATTTATTCTAAATACATTTAAAACACGAGTACATATATGTATAAATATTTTTCAGAAATAAAATAATATTAATGATAGAAAATCCAAAAACAATAATAATGGTACTTTGGGCCACAATAATTTTTAGTTTAATAAGTAAGCCCATTAGATTTGTAGACTATCCTTGTTTCCAATCATCATAATTTTAAATACTTTCTATTCATGTTTCCAATCACTTAATTTTTTGTACTTCAGCTTTAATAGTATAGATGAAAGATTATCTAAACCGGGATCAAACCAATTTATTATTATTTTATTAGAATACAGACAAGAGAAATACAAATAAAGCTGTTTTGCAAGATTCAACCGAACCAACTCGATCTTGCATTATTACATCCGATCATAGCTTTTTATTTGAAAAGGTAAAAGGAAAGAGCTATGAGATACAATAGAACCAAGGTGAGCATATTCTCAAAGGAATTTTGGGAGCTTGGACGCAGCCGCTTTGTCAAGATACCAAATGGCTTGTGTATCAGCTGTGAGCCTAGCTGAAGGCAAGTTGAAATCATCTTTAAAGACCTTTGCAACCGCATCGGCTTGAGCCTCACCACAAACGGCCATGAGGTTGTAGGAAGCACAGTTGATGACGGGTAAAGTGAAGGTGATTCTCTTGGGTGGTAGTTTTAGGGAGTTGGTGATATAAGTCACCAACTTAGCCTTCTCATTGATCTGATAACGTCCCGGAAACAAGGATGCCATGTGGCCGTCTGGACCCATCCCTAGGAGCTGGAGATCGAACTGAGGAAACCCAGAGGATTTATATGTGCGGATGATGTTTTGGTTCACCAATCTTTTGATACACTCTTCCTAAAGTATTGCAGCACCCTTGACATCACCAAGGGCTAGTCTTGGTCTATTGCGTAAATTTTCGAAGTTGGAATAGGAACCTACATTAGTTGTACAGTTAAGTACATATCAGAGCCGTCTAACAAATAATGGGATGTTACATAAATCTATGGAAAAACAAACAATTGTATATCACCCAATATTTAGACCATTCTACTATAACTTTTTTTGTTTGTTTTAAATCTGTGTTAGATTTGTGTTACAAAAAAAAAAAAGAGTCCGTGTTAGATCTGTAAATTAGTGTAGCCCTCAAGTAGTTTACTAACAATAGTTTGTAAGACAAGTCTGACACAAGTTAACAGACCAAGTAACAGTGAAATAGTTCAAGCTAGGGAGATCGAGATCATGTTTTGTCCCCGGATCTTGTACCACTAAGCCACTATAGGTTACCTTGTAGTCCATTGATTTTTTATTTACAAGCTATAAGCACATGGATCTCACATGGTTATCTAGTTCCCGACATTATTTTCCGCTTTGACGAATTTTGAACATGTGTATGAATTGGGAACTAAAAATATAAATTTGTAGCTTGTTGTATAGGATGAGAAAATAAGATATTGAGATGGCGATCATAATGTTACCTCAGAGAGGAAACTGTCCAAGGTCTGTTTGTAGTTACTGTCCTTATCGTCCAATGGAACAACCCTCTCATCGACCCAGAAGACGTGCCACTTTGACCATTCCATCTCATCATACTTGGTATCCAACAACTTTCTGCAAAACTTAGTTACATTATAATGTAATATCTTTCTAAAATATTAAACTACAAATGAGTAAGATTTCAAAGATTTTAATATACATACTTGAGCCAAAAGACGAGGTCACCACCGGAGAGAACGACGGTGAAATAGCCTCTTTCCTCGCAAAACTTTTTGGAGAGGTTGATCCATGATAATAGTCTGTTTAATTTTCTCTTAGTCAAATCACCACGGCAATATAAACCAAAAACAAAAAACAATATGTTCATATATCAAATTTAACTATTTCGAGAAAAAATTACTCAATTTAAAGTTAACTAGATTTTGATCCGCGCAACTGTGCTGGTGTTTGTTTTCGTTTATAGTTAGTTATATAAACATTTTGTTTTCACTTGTAAATTGGTATATATTATTATATTAATCACATATTTACGATATGTATAGTAAATATTTTTCTAACATAATAATATTATATAATATATATGTGTTTTAATCAAATAGATTTTTTCAAATTTTCTATAGTATACATGTTTTTCAAACATGTGACAGTTTCTTCTTCTATATTTAATTTTTTGTTAGATTAATATTCATTTTTAGATAAAGTAATATAAATATAGCTTGATTAAATATTAGTATACTTTAATTTGCAAAGATAATATAAACTTCGAAGAAATTTTTGCTAAAAACTAAACTTATAGCTTCATAAATTAATATTCTAAAGAATTTTATTATAAAATAATTTTTTAAACAATTTCTTTTTTTAAAGAAATATAAATTTAAAAATTTACATCGAAATAAATTTATCTAATATATATAGCGTGTAAATTTTGTTAGGATATATAAATATTCCATATTACTAATCTGTGATTTTTGTTAATATATTGTGGATGTATTTAATTATTATTGACATATTTCCTTATAAATAATAGAAGATTCCTAAACTTATATCTATTGACATATTTTGCGTGACTAAGTTGGAGGTGTAAGGTAATTTATCAAAACCAAATTGTTAAGCATATCTTTGTTATTATAGTTATCATTTTTCATAAGATATAATAATGATAAGATTATTAGAGAGTTAATGTAACATAACTGTCTAGTAATAGTCCATTTTTAAAAAAATCACAGATGAAGTCAGTCATGACTCTATTTTAATAGAATAGATGTTTGATGCCTTAACTAAAATCCACCTATGTTAGTCTACAATGTTACCATTAAATTACCATTCTCAATAAATCATTTCTTTAACTCACACATAACTCATCAAAAAAGGTTTTGTGTCATTTATACACAAATATAAAAGACTAGCGACCTCCACTACAATCTAACAACCTCTTCCAAAATCTATCTTTTAAAAATAAAGGTAAATCACCCATTTTCTAACATCAAAGACCTCCTTAAAAAATCCTATGAGATATCATCCCTCGGATTAACCAATCCATAAATTCATGGGATCATCACCAATTCTTGAAAAAGTGGCTCAAAAGTCAAAACAACAATATCTACAAGATTATAATCTTTTAAGCCATACTATTTATTTTCTTTACCACTAAATAATACATTATCATTTTAACTTCACATATTATTTTCATCAAAGTACTCTCTCAGCAAAAAATAAATTTATTCTATGTACAAAACAGCCACACTTAATTAAACAATATGTCACATTCTTAACCGCTTATCCAGTGACTTAAACTTGACACAAGTAAACAACTATAACGTTAATGGTAAACCAACTTTATATTAGTATAATAACGATTACATTTGATAAAATAGATTCTTAACATAAAGCATAAAATAAATACAATTGTGCGTACCGCGGTTCGACCACTAGTATCTTAATATTTTTATGAGTAATATTTTAAGCATTTTAATTTTAGTGTATCTAAAAATTATATAATTATATTATTTGTATTTATATTAAATTTTAAATTATAAAAAATTTGAATTTCTTTTCAACTTATTTCAACATGTTTGTTATAAATATTTAATAAAATCTCTGTAATTGGGTTGATTAATTGTGTGATATATAGTTATTTGATAAGTGTTTCAAAAAAAAAAAATAGTTATTTGATAAATTTGAATTTAAAAATTAAACTTATTTATAACAATTTATTGATTCTAACATTTTATTTGTATAAAACTTATTCGGTATCAGTTTAAACCAAGCATATCTCACATTAATAATTATGTTCTCTTAAGAATTAAATCAATCTAAGAAAAATAATCTAATAAGAAAGTTTTATTAAGTTTAAATGAATATAATTTTATTTATGAAAATATAAATAAAATAACCCATTAGTTTAATTAATTTTTATCTCAAATGAAATTATTTTATAATATCTAAATCCGGGAAAATAATTATACTTATTTTTAAGCTGTTTTATAAGGGAATTAAATTTTTAAGCCAATTCATTGAAAATAGATAAATAAAAATATTATTAAAATGTATGACTTAATTTTTTGTACTTTTAGAGACAATATTAATTATTGTGTTGTTTGAAAACATATTTAGTAATAATATAAGAATAGAGTATTAATTAATCTGGATATGTTTAAATATATAGTAGAATAGTGTATTTAATTTAAAAACTAGACCTTGACCCGTGCGACCGCACAGGTATTAATTTTATTTTTTTATTTTTATATTAAATGAAATTTTTGTAAAAATTAATTGTATTACATTAAGTCTTTTTGTGTGTATTAACAATTTATTGTATCAAAAATATTGGGTATTATACAAACAAATCTAACATGTAAACGATATATTGAAAATATTTTTCAGTTAAAGACACATCAAATATTGAGAAGTAAGAGTTAATATGGTATACAAAAAAATGATAAATTAGTTATAATATTTCTAAGAAAAATCATGATGTTCAAATTATATAAAAATTTTAATATATAGAACATTTGAATTGAAATTTGTAAAATAAAAAATGAAATATCAATTAAATGGTTACAAATTACTTATGGGTTAAATTTTGATAGAAGAATACCGAAAATTTTGTTGTTTGATCCGCGCAAGTGTTTGTTTTTATATAATTTAGAAGTGATAATATATATTTCTAAATTTACCCGTTTAAATAATTGTTTAAAACGACATTTTAAACACACAATTTTATAATTTATATTAAGTAATTTTATTTTATCTTGTAAACTATCATTGTGTCCTACTTATTTTTAAAAATATGACCCGTATATCTGCACAAATGTTTTTTTTTTATGGATCAAAATTTTATGATAATGTATAACTAAATTGTTGTATCTACTATTTAAAATATACGATCCTATATATTTCTACTTTTTAAACTTTTATTATTCTGAATTTACCTTGAATTATTATTTATATAAAAATATACATAACATAATATGTTTATATTAATCTATGTATTATATATTATATAAATGTTTCTTTTTGTGACTTTATTTTAGTTATTACTGATAAATAATAAAATATAATTATATATCTTTGAAAACAATATTGTTCATTAACTATTTAAAGATATGTAGATAATTAATAAGAAAAAATCCTAAAAGGTAGGTTAATTAATATTGGAATTAATTATTATGTATATGAAATTAGTAAAATAATTTCTATATAATTTATTTATTTAATTACTAAAGGTATATATGAAAATAATTATTTTCATTAATTATTGTTGCCATAATTATTTTTAGTTAAAATTTGATTTTGGAAATGCATTAATTAAAGTGAAAAGACAAAAAATCCTATAAGGTAAGGTAATTGATAGTTTCAGTGGCATTCCATTGTAAATAACACTGAACATTAAGGGATATTTTAATAGGGTACTTCTATTTTAATAATATAGATTTACAAAAAAAAAAGTTAGGTGAGAATATTTATGTCTTAGTAAAAGAGATGACTATGAGTCTACGACGATATGGTCCTCTATATTCATTTATGAATTAGTTACCACTTACTACCCACGAGGAAATCAATTAAATCAGTTCCATTATTCTCTAGTTCGCCATCCATTTCTTTAGTATACAGAGGTTTTTGTTAAAATAGTTGTCGGAGTTCCTGAGTCACACACAGGGCGGATCCAAATGGTTTTTGATACAGGGCACATGACTATTTTATTATAACTAAAAGTTTGGTATAAATGTATGTACTTGAATAAACTCTTTGTGAGAATAAACTCTTTTTGATGAAAAAAAAGAATAAACTCTTTGTGAGTTTTGTTCACACAAACTCCGAATTGGGCTTCGTGTTCCATGGCCCTTACCTTCATCATCTGCAAAAAAAAGAATCAAACCTAAATCTCAGCCGATACTCATTAAACTGAGATGACTACGTTTTGGGAAACGCAAGTGAGAAGGTTTGTTATAACAAACTTTCAGATTGAGTCATCACTTTCGTCACGAGAGAGAGATTCAGATCGAGAGAGAACAAAGAAAATAGAAAAAGAAAACTTAGCTCAAGTCGTAAGGTTAAGGTCGACGGAGTCACAAAAGCGGTACACGGTTGGATCGAACCATTCCGGCGGTGATTTACCGACTTCATAGAGGATATGGCAAGTGAGGTCATTATCTCTTCTTTGTAACTTGTGCGATTGATTCACCATTGTCGTACTCTGTATTCTCAAGCTAGTGTATCAGTTGAGAGATTCGATTCTCTCCCCGTGAGTAGATCCGCGAACACCGGGTGAACAAATCTCGTGTCATTGTTTACATGCTTGATCTTGAACCTGAAATCGAAAACAATCGAACAACATTAGTCATTCACATCAAGATAAAATCAGTAAAACTTGATCTAAAACTCTACAATTGGTATCAGAGCATCAGGTTGGGTGCTAAGGCTAAGAGTTAGATCAGATCTGACAAGAAAGAAGGAGGATCCACTTATCTTGTTATTGCGTGAGACGTAATCTCGGTGGTGTCACATATCTCTTGCTTGTGTGCAGTGCTGGTTCTGGTAATTGTTTTGCAGTTAATTTTGAGGTCTGGATCTGTTGTTAAAGATGGAGTGGACTCATGGGAAGTTTGAGATGGATAAGTCTGATGGAAAGGGGGACTTCGGGTTGTGGAAGTTCAAAATGATGGGACAGCTTGAGATCCAAGGTCTTTTGGCAGTGATACAAGATGATTTTGAGATTTCATCAACTTCTGATAAACAAGGAGAAGGTGAAAAACCAAAAGTTGATCAGAAGAAGTTTGACAAAGACTTACGAGTCAGAAGTTTACTTGGTACTTGCTTAAGTGATTCCATTTTGAGGAAGATTATGCATGAGAAGACGGCTCTTGG